TAGGTACATGGATACAGTAGAAAAGGTTACTTTATCCTCAGCATTTAATAATTCATACAGCCTCAGATCCAGACTGCCAGGTCTCTGGGGAAATCAGTCTTCTCAGCCTTCTTGGTACATGTGACATTTGGGCAAATATTTATTGATGCTTGTTCTGTGAAAAACACAATACTCAACACCATGCAATAGAAAAAAGTTGGCTCTGATAGGAAGAATTCTGCTTGCAGGAGTGGAGGAGAGGAGAGGGGATCATTCAGGAGAACACAGGCTTCATCATCACATGTGCATTTTCTTGTGGGATAATAGGCTGGGAAGGGCTGTTCCAGGTTGGTCGTCAGATCTGCTTCCTTCAGGTGCGTCCGGTCCCCAGTACCCTGCCACCTCCTGAGCATCCCTTCTCTGCCAACACACTTGCAGTGAGAGGGACGCCTGACGCTCTAGGAAGCCCATTCTGGTTTCGGAAAACTCTCACCATTGCTCATTGGTTTTACATTGACGCTCCAGGGAGAAACAGAACAATCCAATCCTTTTTTTTTTTTTTTTTTTTTTGAGATGGAGTCTCGCTCTTGTTGCCCAGGCTGGAGTGCAATGGTGCAATCTTGGCTCACCACGACCTCCGCCTGCTGAGTTCAAGCGATTCTCCTGCCTCAGCCTCCCGAGTAGACAGGATTGCAGGCATATGCCACCACGCCTGGCTAATTTTTTGGTATTTTTAGTAGAGATGGGTTTTCTCCATGTTTGTCAGGCTGGTCTCAACTCCCAACCTCAGGTGATCCACCCGCCTTGGCCTCCCAAAGTGCTGGGATTACAGGCATGAGCCACCGTGTCTGGCCTCCAATCCCTCTTTTTTGGGAGCAGTCTTTGAAAAGTTTAAGACCATGTCCACCTGTCCACCTGCACACCCCACCCCTCATCAAAGTCCTCTTGGTTACAGGGTAAGTGCCCTCAGCTTCTTCTGCATTACAAGATTTTTAAGTTCTCCTTCTCTCTGTAATGCTGTTAACACAACTTAGCATCCTTCAGCATAAACCAATGAAACAAAAGCTTCTAGTGGGAGGTGGTAGGCATTTCATCAAGTAGCAAAAGGGGCCTTTCCTTGAGTCTCCACACCTTAGATCCATTGTAGGGCGGCCACGCCACACTGTTAACTCATGACGCCCATAGTCCGCTAACCCCACAAATCTGCCTACAGTGTCTACTGTTGAATGTCTCCTCTGTTTTTCAGTGTGTTCACCATCCTATCCAGTTCCATGTCACCCCTCAAATGATCCATGCCATTGATAAACATGTTCTCTATGACAAAGCTGGGAACCCCATAGCACAGCACCAGAAATGAGCTCAAGTTAGCATCAAACCACAAGTTCTAAACCTGCCAGCCATGCTATCATCATGGCTTGTATTTCTCCTTGCCCTCAACAATTCCATGTGGTAAGGATTGTCAAATGCACAGTAATATGCAGCTATATCCTATCTAAAGCATTGCCTTATGTACTATGTTAGTAACTATAGAAATTTACAAGTAGGCTGATCTGGCATGCTTTGTTTTTGGAAATCCAAGATGATAATACTTGTTACCTTTGCTTCCTTTTCTAAAAACTCACAAATCATTTTAATGGTCTGAGTATTTCCTGTGATCACATGAAGTTCACTGGGCCAGAACCTGACCTATTTAAGTGAATGAGTCATCAGTCACTCAGAACCGCACAATTCTCTCTTGTAGTTTTTTTCATTATGCCATGACAATTCAGTCAAACCAGGGAACTTGTTTCTTTACTAGGCCTGAACCAGGATTAGTGTCCCAAAGCAACTCATCTGTCTACACCTCGGCCTAAGACAACGCAGGCTGCAACAGGAAGCAGGGCCTTTTCCTGCCACACGGTGGCAGGCCAGCCACTAACCAGTCAAAGTGAGGACCACGCAATGCTTCCTGCTCCCACCTTCTCACCGAAGGACCCAGCCTCCTTCCTAACCTCCTTCGCTAACACCCCTCCCATTTCCCTCAGTAACGGTAAGACTAAAGCATGACAAGATAGGAGTACACTGTACCAAAAGACGAGGCTATAAATAGCAAGCACAGCAGACTGAGACCTTGCCCAGGAAGGCTCCTGGCAGCTTGGGGGACAGCACTGGCCATGGAACTGACCATTAACATCCACCAAGGAGAAGCTCCTTCCTTGAAGGACCAGAGCAGGTCCTGGCATTCCAGGGAGGACCAGAGCTCTGCTCCACCCACCCTGGTCTCTCTGTCCTACTCAATCCCATTCCAGGGTCCCATCCTGCCAAGCCTGAGTGATAATAAGCTTCTTTTCTCTTCTTACATGAGAACCCTAAGCTTACTTGTTTAGTAACCACTCTCTGTACCTTGCTAGGCATCTGAGGGCCAAATCATTATTCTGATTAACTTTTCCAATAATTTCCTCTAAATTGGTCACTATTTCTTCCACAGTTACTATGTTTTTGTCCTGAACAATTGATGTTTTATTTTATGTCAAATGTACATGTCTTTATACAGCCTCATAATCAGACTGCCAGGTATCTGGGAAAATGTTTTATTCTCATTGTTCTCAATATGTATGAATTCAGTTAGGCAAATATTATGGACACTCATTCTATGCCAAGCACAATACTCAATGTGGTGTAATAGAAAAAGAAACCTTGGCTAGGAATTCAGCCTTCAGGGAGTAGAGTAGAAGAGATAAAGGTAGGAGGTGATTAAATGTCACAGTGCAAAGTCTTTTGGGAGTTTAGAAGAGAGGGGCTACTTTGCCCTTCGGAAAGTGGAAGGTGTTATGCTGGTGGGATTGGAGCTAGCTACATAAAAGGTGAGTAGGGCTTTGACCTGAGGAAATGGGAGACTGTGCCAGGTGAAGGAAACAACATGGCAAAGGCAGAGCAGCAGGAAAAGTACAGGGATATGTTCGTTTGAGAGCCGGTATTTGTCTTTGACCTGGGAATAGGCTTGTCATGATGGACTCAGGTCAGATATTACATGGACTTTATAGCAGGCCGAGAAGTTTAGACTGAATTGTACGGCGACCCTCAAACTATGGAGGTTTATGTGAGCAAGATAATTGACAGGGTAATGAGGCAGGGGACCAATTCAAAGACAAGAAGTAGAGATGAGTAGATAAACAAAATGTGGTGTATACGTAAATAGAACAACAGTCAGCTGTAGAAAAGGATGAAGTTCTGACACATGCTGTAGCGTGGATGAACCCTGAAAGCATTATGCTAAGTGAAATGAAACCAAACACAAAGGAACACACTTTGTATGATTCCACTTCGTATGCAATGTCTAGAACAGGCAAATTTGTAAAGACAGAAAGTGGATTAGAGGTTAACAGGCTGGTGGAAGGAGGGAGTGGAGAGTTATTTCTTCATGTGTACAGAGTTTTCATTTGGGGTAATGAAAAATTTTGAAATATAGTGGTGATGGTTGTACAACAACGTTGTGGATGTAGTTAATGCCACTGAATTACACACTTACAATAGCTAAAATGGCACATTGTAAGTTTGAGAGAGAGAAGCATGACAAGACAGGAATACACTCTACCAAAAGATCAGGCTGTAAAAACTAAGCACAACAGACTGAGGACCTTGCCTGAGGCTCCTGGCAGCTTGGGGGGTGGCAATGGCTATGAACTGACCATTAACATTGACCAAGGAGAAGCTAACTGATGCCTAGACTGTTTTGAACGAGAAACGAAGAATAGAGGAGAAGGTATAAAATATTGAGAAAGCACAATTCATAGGATTGTAGTGTGACTCAGAGAGGGAGAATTCTGAGCTGAGCTGAGGCTTCAGTGGCAGGTGGCTCAAAGGAGCAGAGCTGTAGGTCAGGCTGGGGAAGGAATGGAGGCTGAAGAATGGAGGAGCTAGAGCGACTAAGTACAGAGGCGCCTACTGAAGCTTGGTGAAGGAGACAGGAAGGTAGCTCAAAAGTGATAACAAGCATATGGGAAGATGTTTCAGATTAGGGAGGCAGAAACTAATTTTTAGGATAAATGGGAAGAAAGAATTTGAAGATGTATTCCTCTGCCAAGTGCATGTCATTTTTAAAACCCTGGTCTAGAAGCACTCTTCTGGGATATCATGTGCACTGGCATCTCTTTATACTCACCACCCTTCTTTCTTTCCAAGAAATCCCAATACTCTGTGTTCTCACGCCACATATAGACCCTTCCCTGAGAGTTTTGGTGGTGTGATTCAGCCTTTAAAGAATCAGCTGGAGTAACTGGCAGAGTGCTGTTTTGGTAAGTCTGGAAAAGGTTTCTGTAACACCCCAGAGAAGACCAGGAAGGCATCACGCCTCTCTTTATTGGCCAGAGCACAGTGGGGATCACCCAGTGTCACGTTGTGTCCCTTCCTTCCCAATTACAGGTTTCCTAAAACTCTCGCAATGTGTGGATCATGCTTATGAGTCTGTAGAGCCCAGGATGCTGCTTGTTTTCATTTAATACTTTACTTAGTTTATTGATGCTCAAAAATAGGTTACAGTTTAGTTAGGCATATTATAAGCTGGTTGTTCATAAGAAAACAAAAACTGGGCATTTGATTACTGTAAAATTGTAGTCAGTTGGAGCAACTGGTCCTGATTGTTCCATTTTCTTCCTTCCTTCCTTCCTTCTTTCCTTCCTTCCTTCCTTCCTCTTTCTTTCTCTCTCCTTCCTTCCTTCCTTCTTTCTTTATTTTCCTTTCTTTCTTTTCTTTCTTTCTCTCTCTCCTTCCTTCCTTTCTTCTTTCTCTTTCTTTCTCTTTTCTTTTCTTTCTGTTTCCCTTTTGTCTCCCAGGCTGGAGTGCAACGGCAGCGTCTCAGCTCACTGCAACCTCTGCCTCCTGGGTTCAATCGATTCTCCTGCCTCAGCCTCCTGAGTAGCTGGGATTACAGGCACCTGCCACCATGCCTGGCTAATGTTTGTATTTTTAGTAGACACAGGGTTTCACCATATTGGCTAGTCTGGTCTCAAACTACTGACCTCAGGTGATCCATCACCTCAGCCTCTCAAAGTGCTGGGATTACAGGCGTGAGCCACTGCGCCCGGCTGATTCTTCTATTTTCTAACAGTGTGACTTGAATAAAGTCCAGTAACATTTCTGAACCCAAATCTCTCTCTCTACAAAGTGATACCCACTGTGTCACTGAAAGCATTGTGATGGGGCTCCTTGAATGGTTTTTAAGTTGCCTTTTGCTAGAAAACTGGTGTGACCTTGTGTACTGAGTAGCCAGGTGATCATTTGACTCGCAGGTTTTATATTCCAGAGATTTTGTTCACGAAGTGTTTTTCTGAAAACTCAGTGTTTGTAGCATTGTTGGAAATTTTCCTCATGTCCTCACTGAATTTGTATTGAAGGAATCGAGTCTTTGAAAGGTGGATTTACCTCCCTGTTTAATAAGTGATAAGCCTGTCGTTTGAGTTGTCCCTTAGTGTGAGTCCTGGAGTTTGAGAACAGCGACTGCTGTGATCCTACCGTGATTTGATGGGCACTTCTAGGCACAGTGAAAGGGAAGTGGAAGTTTCTGGTTGACTTTGATTCAGTTCCAACACGTTCCTCAGGTAGGCCTGCCGAACTGCAGAGAGTGAAGTCAGCGGAGATGAAAGTGAAAAGGTGTAAAGTTCACATTGAGTTTGAAGGCCTTCTCCTCTAAACTTAGATGTAAGAAACATTTTCTATGCTTCTAAGTATAAAATGTCATTCTACATAAGAGGTGTATTTTAAAATGTCAGATATTAAACTGTCTGCGGTAACATTCCACTTTTCATGTCTAATGTTATGTCTGTATGAAAAGAAATGGATGAAATGCTAAGCTTGTTCAATTTGAATACATACCTGGAACTAAATCAAATGTGTTTCATTAATTCATAATCATTAAAAGTAAGCATTGGTAGACCCTTGACCTAATACTTCGAGATCTAACATTCACAGTTTTGACTTATTCTGAGCCACCCCTAAGGTCCATGGCATGTTATAATTTAATGGGGACAGGCCTACTTCCCTCAGAGGATTGCTATAAGGATTAAATAAACAATGTATGTAAAGCACTTGGCACAAATTTAAACCAGCATGCTGTTATGTGGCCGGTAGTCCTGTAAGCTATTGGGGGAGTCTGGAGGGCTGCTCAAAATCAGCATCTCAGTTAACCGTATTCCTCAGTTTAGGCTTCACAGAAATCCCAGGTGGCAAAGACCCGCTCCACACAGATTGTTCCATTGAGGGCCCATAACATGCACATTGCGTTCAGAACAATAATAACTACAAACTCCTGCAACAGCTGACACCAACATTCCAAACAGCAAACAGTTTGATTGTGAATCTTGGCTTCTGTCCAGTCTATTACCATAACATGTCAAAGCATAGTTTGCACTGGAAATGAGTCTGAGTTGATAGATTTTGTTGAGAATATGCTAGTAAACTAATTTAAAGGGATATGAGCAATGTGTATGTTACCTTCTGAATAGAGTTCCAAAGAGAATAGATCTCACAAACACCAAAGCCGTTTTACGTCAAATAAACATCACTTCCACTGGGAAATGAGTGTAAATGTGTGTGTGTGTGTGTTTCTTATGAGCTGCCGCTATTATCTATTAATAAAACTGCCCAGTGTGAGAAAAAAGAAAAAGGAACTAGCTGGAGGCAGGATGTTGGGTTTTTTTTTATTATTATTATCCTGTTTTTTTTCACAAACACTGAGGCAGCTTTTGTAACCCAGATGCAGAGAAGGTCACTTTTCAATTGTTTTAACACCTGCTGTCTATTAAAATGAACATGGTTTCCACAAGCCATTGATAAATTCAGTCTGAAACCTACCTCAAGTGGCGGTTTCCTTTATTTTGATAAAACTTTTGAATAAATAATATGTCTGTCCAATTTCTGGTGTGTGTGCGTGCGTGTGTGTGTGTGTGTTTGCTATTTGACTCTCATATCCCGCCTCTTACTATTTTATTTTCACAGTGCTTATAACAAAACAATAGTTTTTGGTACCGAGAGTAGAAAGCTAATTACAAATAACAGCTGTGTTGTTCATAAAACAAAAGTGAAGCTAGGGCACAGTGGTGCACTCCTGTAACCCCAGATACTCAGGAGGCTGAGGCGAGAAGTTAGCTTGAGCCCAGGAGTTTGAGGCTGCAGTGAGCTATAACAGTGCCACTACCTGAGTGACAGAGTGAGACCCCATCTCTTAAAAATGTGACACACTTAGTCATTAATGAGACATACTTAAAGTCTTGAATTGGCAATGGCTCTGACTATATCAGCAAGATGTAATTTAAGAGCAGAGAAAATGTCTACTTAATCTACTGATTCATCCTAGAATACCACCAGACTTAATAGAAATATAATCTTGGTTTAAAAAATATCAAGCAGGAGGCTGGTAAGAATTCTTGTAGGCTTGTTTCTTCCTCCATCTGTCTGCCAAATGTCTGTCTCCTTGTCCTCTGCTCACTCTTTTTTTGAGGTGGAGTCTCATTCTGTCACCCAGGCTTGAGTGCAGTGGCACGACCTCGGCTCACTGCAACCTCCACCTCCCAGGTTGAAGCCATTCTTATGCCTCAGCCTCCTGACTAGCTGGGATTACAGGCACCCACCACCATGCCCTGCTAATTTTTGTATTTTTACTAGAGACAGGGTTTTGCCATGCTGGCTAGTCAGGTCTCGAACTCCTGACCTCAAGTGATCCATCCTCCTCGGCCTCCCAAAGTGCTGAGAGTATAGGCACGAGCCACCGTGCCCTGCCCTGCTCACTCTTTCTACTGAGAAGTGCAGCACTTCCTTGGATGAGGCATTGCTCTGTCCCAGGGTAGGAGGAGCAGCAGCCCTCACTGCAGGCAGAATGCTGCTAACCCTTGCCTGTCAGCTTCCCCCAAGGCGTCACATTGGTCTAGACCCGGTGCAGTCTGTTGCTGCTATGGAGGTTTACATATTAAAGCCATCCTGGGCATGTATCTGCCTAGTGTATTCTCAGGGAGTTGTTTACTTTCACTTTTCATGCTATGAAAATGGTTTCAGACTTTGTAGATGTCCTGGGACATGAAATGCAGGTAAAAATATTAAATAGCTACAACTTTAAAAAGACTTTTTATAAAAGTATGAGTGCAGAAAATGGGCAACTCTTTAGCGTACAGCTCAATGCATTTTCACAATTCGAGAACACCCGTGTACGAAATACCCAGATTGAGACTCGTGAGAATAGCAGAATCCCAGAGGCTCCCAGAGGACGCCTTCCAAACCCATTCTGTCCCTCCTTCCCAAAGGCAAATGCTGCCTAACACCAAAGGTTAATTTTTCCATCGTAAAGAAAGACTTCATATATAAGCTTTATCAGAATGGAATTATATAGTGTACAGTTGACCCTTGAACAATGCAGGGGTTAAGACGGCACCAACCCTCGAGGCAGTCAGAAATCTGAATGCAACTTTTGACTCTGCAAAAATGTAACTGCTACCAGCCTACGATTAACCCGAAGCTTTACTGATAACATAAACTGTCCACTAGCTCATATTTTGATTGTTGTACGTATTGTATAATGTATTCTTACAATAAAGTAAGCTGGAGAAAAAGAAAATAGTCTTACTTAAGAAAATCATGAGAAGAACATGTACTGACTATTCATTAAATGGAAGGGAATCCTCATCAAAGTCTTCATCCTCATCGTCTTCATGTTGAGTAGGCTGAGGAGAAGGAGGAAGAGGAGGAGATGGTCTTACTGTCTCAGAGGGGTACAGGTGGAAGAAAATCTACATATAAGTGGACCCATGCAGTTAAAACCCATGTTGTTCAAGGGCCCACTTTATTCTTTTGAATCTAGCACCTTTCAACATACTTATGATTGATCGTGAGGTTTATTCATGTTCTTGCATGTAGATGTAGTTTGTTTTCATTGCTGTGTAGTATTCCACATATGAACAGATCACAGCTTATTTATCCATTCCACTATTGAAGGACAGTTGGGTTGCATACAGGCTTAGGTTATTGGGATTAATGCTGCTGAGATCATTCACATACATATCTTTCAGTGCACACACATACTCCTTGCTGGACTATGGGGTATACACGTATTCAGCCTCAGAAGACACTGACAAAAATGTTTTCCAACGTTGTCGTACCAATGTTTTCTTCAATTTTACCGATAAGAGTTCTGGTCGCTTCCAAGGCCTCCTAACCCTTTGTATTTTCTATCTTTTTCTTTATTTTTACAGTTGTAGTATCATTCTCTCATAGGGCAGCAGTCCCCAACCTTTGTGGTACCAGGGACTGGTTTCGTGGAAAACAATGTTTCCATGGACCGTGGGGTGGGAGGATGGTTGTGGGATGAAACTGTGCCATCTCAGATCATCAGGCATTAGATTCTCATAAGGAGAACACAACCTGGCTCCTTCTCACGTGCAGTTCACAGTAGGATTCGCGCTTCTGTGAGAATCTAATGCCGCTGCTGATGTGACAGAAGGCGGGGCTCGGGTGGTAATGCGAGCCATGGGGAGCGGCTTTGCTTTCTCACCTGCCACTCACCTCCTGCTTCATGGCCCAGTTACTAATAGGTCACAGACTGGTACTGGGGGGTGGGCGTCCCGACATAGGGGCTTTAATTTGCGTTTCTCTGGTAAGAATGGTACTGAGAATCTTTCTGTATACCTCTTTGACCATCTGGATATTTTGTGAAGTGCCTGTGGATATCTTTTGACCCACTTTTATTGAATTTCCTTTATCTTTTTCTTATGTTTGGTAGAAGATATTTATATATTCTGGCACAAGTCTATGTTGAATGCTTTTATTGAAAAGATCTCCTCCCACCCTGTGGTTTTCCTTTTGTCTTTTTAAATGGTGTCTTCTAATGAACGGATTTTCCTAATTTTACTGAAATCTAATACATCAACATTTTCTTTAAGATTAGTGCTTATTTGATGTCCTGTTTAAGAAATTTTTTACCTACTTCAAGGGGAAAAAACATTATTCTATGTTATGTTCTAAAAGCTTCATTGTTTTATCTTTTACATTCAGATATATAATCTATTGAGAATTAATTTTTCTGTGAAAAATGTGTGTGTGAAGTAGATGGATTAAATTTCCCTCTTTTCTATATGAAAATTCAAATCAACCAGCACTATTTATAAAAAGACCATCTTGGACCACCTGTAGTCCCATCTACTCGGGAGGCTGAGGCAGGAGGACTGCTTGAGCCTAGGAGGTTGTGGCTGCAGTGAGCTGTGATTGCACTACTGCACTCCAGCCTGGGCAACAGAGCGTGACCCTGTTTCTGAAAGAAAAGAGAGAGAAACAGAGAAAGAGAGAGAGATGGAGGGAGGAGGGAGAGAATGAGAGAGACAGAGAAAGAAAGAAAGAGAGAGAGAGAGAAAGAAAGAGAGGGATGGAGGAGGGAGAGAGGGAGAGAGTGAGAGAGACTGAGAGAGAGAGAGAGAAAGAAAGAGAGAAAGGAAGGAAGGGAGGAAGGAAGGAAAGAAGGAAGGGAGGGAGGAAGGAAGGAAGGAAGGAAGGAAGGAAGGAAGGAAGGAAGGAAGGAAGGAAGGCAGGCAGGCAGGCCGGCAGGCCATCCTTTCCCCACTGCTCTGCAGTGATACCTTTGTCACTAGTGAGGTGTCCATATGCTGCTGGATTTTGTTGAATGCTTTTCTGCATCTTTGCAAGGATCATATGATTCTCTCTATTCTGTTAATGGAGTGAAGTACATTGATTTTTGTATGCACATCTGGGTAAGCTGCATTTGATGGGTTATACTTATTATCCACTGCTCAATTTCGTATGCTAAGATATTGTTGAAGATTTTTGCATCTACATTTATAGTTTGTAATTTTCTTTCTTTTAATGTCTTTGTCAAGTTTTGTTATCAGGGTTATCTGGACCTCATAAAATAAATTAGTAAGTGCTCCTTTTCCTGTATTTTTTGAGAGTTTCTGTTATATCGTTATTTTCTTCCTTAAATGTTTGATAGAAACATTGGGCTTGAAATTTTTTTTTTTTTTGGTGGGAAGCTTTTGGCTAAGAATTCAATGTCTTTCATAGATACAGCACTATTCAAATTTTCCATTTCTTTCTAGTTTTGATAAGTTGTGTCTTTCAAGTAATTTTATTATTTCATATAAGTTGTGGGGTTTACCTTATGAAGTTATTCATAATATTCCACATTATTCTTTTAGTATCTATAGGATCTATAGTGATATTCCCTTTGTCATTCCTGATATTGGTAATTTATATTTTCTCTTTTTTCATTGATTGATCTTGCTAGGGGTTTGTCATTTTTATCAATGTTTTCAAAGGGGCAATCTTTGTTTTGATTAGTTTTCTTTGTTGTTTATCTCCTACATTAGTTATCTATTGCTGTGTAACACTTTGTATCCCCAAACCCACTGACTTAAAACAACACACATTTATTAACTCGGAGTTTCTGTGGGGCAGGAATCCAAGCACAGCTTAGTGGGGTGCCTCTGCCTTGAATTCTCCTCATGAGGCTGCAGTCAGGGAGACAGCAGGTGCCGTGGTGTCATCTGAAGGCTCAGCTGGGGAAACGTCTACTTCCAAGCTTACCTGAGTGGCTGTTGGCAGAATTAAATTCCTCGTGAGCTATTGGACTGAGGAATCCAGTTCTTCACTGGCTTTCCTTAGTTCTTTTCTGCACAGGCCTCTCCAGCTCACAGAATGGTAGCTGAACTCCATCTGAGTGGGCAGACAAGAGAGAGCATGAGAGGAGGAACAGGAGGAGGGCCAGGGTCTTTCTTTAACCTCCTCCCAGAAGCCACAGCTCATCCCTGTTACTTTTCTCTTCTCTCTGATTCTGCACTGCCTCAGGTCTGAAAATGCCTGAAAAACAGGCAATTCACAAATTTGATCCAGTTCTATCATTGTTTATGATGGGAGGGCTGATCCAGTACCACTTAATTCATCAGGGCTGGAAAGAATTATTATTTTAACAAGTAATTGCTTTTAGCTTTTAGGCTCCACAGGACTTGTTGTTTCTCTGCCAAAAATTATTTCTTTACACTTTCTGCTTCAGACTATTTTTTAAACATCTGTTCTTTTCTTTGTCTTCGCTACATCTAGATTTAATGACATAGACAATAATTGTAGCATAAAGTTAATAAGAATGGCAGCACCTCCATTTGTAGTACTGATGGCTTTCCTGTGACTGTAACTGATTGAATTTAAAAATCATTTCAGAAAAGCCATGGATCATAAGATACTATGCTATGAAATCGTTACAATCGTCTAGAATTTAAATGAATGGTATGTAGTCAAATTGTAATTTCATTTAACTTTTTAATGTTCTATATACTTATTATCGTTGTTGTTTGTGAATACACCTTCCAGTTATCTACTTCAAATCTAGAAGTGACCTGAACTGTGAGTTCGGTTTTAGTCCTCTTATATAGAAAGATTTGACATTGGAGCATCCAAACTTCCAACCTTTGGCTCCTCTTGGAGAATGCCACCTCCTGGGCATGGGGCCCTCGTCCACATTCCTCTGAAAAAGCACTAGGATGAACAAGAGTCAATGAAAAGTGCCCAGAGACCTGGAGATGCAAGGAAGAGGACAGGTGAGTGGGTTGGCCAGGTGAGGCCTGGGCTGCTGGCACGTTTGTTGGTATCCCCACATTGCTAAGACAAATCAGGAGACTCTGTTTCCCCTGCTTATGGTTGACGGAATGTCTTCAGACTCTGAAAGAGGTTCTGGTGTCCTCCCAGTCTGATCCCAGCATGAAGGTCTTGACCCTGTGCTCACCCACTGGCCATTCTGCTGATCTGGGACAATCATGTGCCAAATCAAACCTTTCGGTTTATTTGTTAAAAATGCAGGGATCTCTGGTAAGAATAAATCTCTGTTTTCAACAGAACCAGAAGTGAGAGCGAGATTACTTTTATTTCTGCTTCTTTCAAGGTCTTGGATGAGTTTAAAAAAAGAGCTGAACTAGGATTAACGAGGCTCACTTTTGCTCTTTTCTGTGATATGGAAGTTCTATCATTATTAAATAATGTAACGGATACAGAATTCAGACAGAGACACACGGAGAAAATAAATAGCCAGATGTGGGGGGTGAGGGGGGAAGGCAAAAAAAAGGAGAAATAGATAAACCATATAGAAGATGTGCTCTGTATTCATTTTTCATTGTTTTGTAACTGATTACCACAAACTCACTGACTTAAAACAGCACCCATTTAGTATCTCAGTTTCTGTTGTCCAGAAGCCAGAGCATGACTTAGCTGGGTTCCCTGCCTGAAGTTTTCAAGGCTGAACTAGAGTGTTGACCAGGCTATGTCCCCTCCTGGAGCTCTGGGTCCTCTTGCAAGCTATTCTGGCTGTTGGTAGGACTCAATTCCCTGAAGTTGTGGCACTCCTGGAAGCTGCCCTCAGGTCCCAGGCACATGGTCCTCTCCCAGAATGGCAGCTCATTCCTCCAAAGCCAGCTGGAGAACCTCTTTCCAGTCCCCTGCAATGAAGTCTCAGCAAGGGAGTGAGTGTTTCATGCCAATCACAGTCCTGCCCGCATTCGAGGGGAGAGGGCTTAAAGGCATATCTAACAGGGGTGGGAATCTGGGTGACCATCTTAGAATTCTGCCTGACACATGCCGTTAAATCAGGTGGTTTAAAATAAACACTTTGGCTAATGAAGAAAACAATAGATATATTTGGAAGTGATGTCTCCTGCTGGCCAGTCTCTATCGAATGGAGATGTTCTGTGAAACCTCTCTCCCACGTGGGGTTGTTGCAAGGCTGGTTAGGTCTGCCTGTGAAAAGCCTCTGCAGAATGGACCCTGCTCTGCAAGTGTAAGGGAATTAGAATGTGTGTGTGTGTACATCTGTGCATTTGTGTGTGTGGGTTCATGCGCATGGATGTGTATGTGCGTGTGTGTGTGCGCATGCATGTGCATGCATATGTGTGAAGCAAAGTATACCACATCAGCTGCCTCCCTCTTGGCTCTCCCCATCCAGAGTGAGCCCATCCCTTGCCAGCTCCTCGTAGACCTTTGCTGTCTCTAGGTGCTTAACACCTCCCACCTGCTCATGTACTGTTGTCCCCTTTTATCTGTGGTTTCACTTTCTGTGATTTCAATTACCCATGGCCAATCATGGTCAGAAAATATTAAGTGGAAAATTCCAGAAATGAACAATTTATGTCTTAAATTGCATGCTGCTCTGAGTAGCGTGATGAAATCTTGTGCCGACCCACCCGTGGCATATCATCCAGCGTGTCCGCAGTGTAGATGCCACCCACCCATTAGTTATCCACATCATCTGCTCCTGACATCCAACCATTCACATGGTCACGGCTGGATGATCCAGGGGCACCCAAAGCAGATGGTCCTCCTGTTGCATCGTCAGAAGTAGTAGCTGAATGCTATGTCACAATGCCTAGTCATTGCCTCACTTCATCTCATCACGTGGGCATTTTATCAAGACAGACCATCACAAGAAGCAGAAGGGTGAGTACAGCACAATAAGACAATTCGAGAGCGAGACAAAGAAAGAGAAACCACATTCACATAACTTGTATCATAGTATATTGTTATAATTGTTCTATTGTATTAGTAGTTATTGTTGTTAGTCTCTTACTGTGCCTAATTTATAAACATTATCATAGGTATGTATGTACAGGAGAAAACACAGCATATATAAGGTTCAATACTATTTGAGGCTTCAGGCATCCACTGGGGTCTTGGAACATATCCCTTGAGGATAAAGGGGGACTACCGTATTTCTTTTGGACTTCGTATCAATTCATCACCACTTTACAAACTTTCCAACTGTAGAGTTTACACCTTGATCATTTTTTGCATTCCCTTTTGTGTCATGAATAAAGGAAGCAAATCCACTCTAGACTTGACCTCTTGTAAGGCTGAGCACAGTCATGGCGCAGTAGGGAGGGGCTGCTGCTGTCCTGAGGTCCTGGTAAGCGGATTTCACCTGATTCATTCACTGAGCATCTCTTGAGTGCCTGCAGTCAGCCCAGGGAAACATCATCTAAATGGCGCTACTCTCCAGGGCCTCTCCTGTTTTAGAGATGTTCTTGTTTCATAATGGCACAAGACACTACTTTGAACCACTTTCCTTTATTATAAAACATAAAAAGTGCTAAACACACGCATGCTTTAAACATTGGCAGTAGTGACCAGTAGCCTTCAGGGCGACTTGCAGTAGACCCTGGTGGCCAGCTTCACAAATGCAGGCAAACCCAGCTTGCAGGTGGTGCATCAGTCTCTTGACAGAATAGAGGGGTGTAGGGTAAAGGTACCATCAGCAAATCAAGGCTGCTTACATGGGCTCACTGAGAGCTGGCAAGAGGGCTATTGCTCATGGTGTAAAATAAATACTAGTGGTGGGGCAACATAAATCTTCTGGCTGAAGGAATTATTAGTGGCACATTGACCTGGTGTGAACTTGTAACGAGTTAAGAGGTATTATTGATAGCTTTTCTCATTCTCCAGGCTCAGAGAGGGTTACCTTTTACTGAAATGTAAACACACCAGACATGCTTTCAATAACAATTGTCAACCATGTCCCAGCTTAGACTCAAAATTCCCCCTTGGTTAGCTTTTTTGACGCTGTACTTAAGACTAAACTTGTAACATGAATTCTAGCAACGTCGAGGACTTGGAATCTTAAGCTGTTTATCAGATGAGGGCTGTTCCTTATCTTCTCGGTGAAAGATTAACCAAAACATGCACCAGAACCACCGCGTGTTTTCCTTCCCAATATGGGAGCCTTTTTCCTAGAGAAGAAAAATTTAGTTCCGTTTCCTCTTCCAGAGCTCAGACCTTTCACTAAACCACACATTACTGCCTAGAGGCCTACGTGAGCTCTCTCTGGGGCTGAGAACAGCAAGCTCCTCTCCTGCACAGCAACTCCTTCAGTTACTTCATTCCTGTGCGGCCTTCAAAGACCAGACGAGTCGCACATTTGCCACGGCCCTTCTCTCCCACCAGCCCTGTCTATGGCCAGCTCTCCCTCATCTAAACTCCTGCAGGATTGTTTGCTTTGTTAGGTTGTAAATGGCAGGAAGAAACTGACTCAAATTCGCTTAGAAAAAAGAGATGTTTAGTGGCTTGCAAACCTGAGACACTGAGCGTTAACACTGCCTCCATGCAAAGCCGAACCTGGGGCCTCCTCTCTTTTTCCCATATACTAGAATCTCATTCTTTGGGACCAGATTCACTGTCCCGGGCTGGCGATGTAGACAGGATACTTCTCTAGCTTATCTCAAGTCAGCCATGTATTTGCCAATATCAGATCATTTAAACAGTTACATGGCTTATATCACTTTCATCTGGCTGTTTCCCTCCCTCCCCTTTTTCTTTCTTTCTTGTGTATAAATAAACAGATCTTGCCTCACATGCAATTAGAAGGTCTGAGTACTAGGACATCTTTTCTGTTTTTCTGGACCCTTGGAAGTGAGCTGATGATTTATGTTATCAACGACTGAAAGCCGTACTAATTGATGGACAATTGATACTTTTTCTTTTACTACTTACGGCAAATGAAAACGTTTGACTTTATAGTTATTGCTGCATTTCTCTTTTGAAAAAGTAAAACCATTCTTGTTACTAAAGTGAAAAATGTATCTTTATCAAACAAATTTCATTTGAGTGGCAAAGGACAAAGGATTGGTTCTGTGTTTCCTTTGAGTCCTAAAAACCCAAGGGAGCATCAGCCCTTTGCTGTCCCCCACCGTGATGTAGGGCCACCTTCCTGTGGCATCTCCACCTCGGAGCCTACTCTGCTCTTGACCTGCGCTCCTCTCTAAGAAGAGAGGGTGAGAACAAAGAGAAGGCAGAGAAAGTAGAAAAAAGCAAGATGGCAGGCTCAAATCCCACGACATCAATAATTACACTAAATGTGAATCGCCTAGGTGCTCTGGCCAGAGAGGAAGGCTTGAAACGCCCTGGAATGCCTTGTGTCTCCACTTGGTGAGGTCTGATGAGGGAATCTGGGACCATGCTTACAACCTACTGTTTTGAGTTGTGTTTTCTCCAGAAAGAAAAGTCCTGAATGACTTCAGACATAATCATTGTCTACGTTGCCTTTCTGACCCCACCAGTGGGGCCCTTTAGAAGAAATGACCTGGACCTTTATGGGCCTGGGTTTCAGTCCTGACTCTGCTACCAAGCAATGGAGTCAGCTCTGGCTGGGCCTTATCTCCATGCTTCGCAGCCCCACGTAACTCCAGAGTCCTCATCCAGAAAACAGCTGTGATGGTGTTTTTCCTGCAAACCATGCAGGGGTTGTTCTAGGAACAAAATAATATCAAATGACTCTATGTAGCTGTATTAGTCCATTTTCACACTGCTGTAAAGAACTGCCTGAGACTGGTAATTTATAAAGGAAAGAGGTTTAATTGACTCACAGTTCTGTATGGCTGGGGAGGCATCAGGAAACTTACAGTCATGGCGGAAGGTGAAGGAGAAGCAGGCACCTTCTTCACAAGGCAGCAAGAGAGAGAGAGCACAGGGGAAACTGCCACTTTTAAACCATCAGATCTCATGAGAACTCACTATCATAACGGCATGGGGGGAAACTGCCCCCGTGATCCATTTACCTCCCACCAGGTCCCTCCCTCAACACTTGGGGATTACAATTCAAGATGGGATTTGGGTGGGGAAATAGCCAAACCATATCAGTAGCATTTTCTTGTTTATAAAACACCTTTCATATCTATATCTATATCTGTATCTATATCTGTCTCTCCTTCAGACTTTATAGTAGTGAGGCAAGCTTTATTATTATTGTATAAATATGAAAACAAAGTCATATAACTTTCTCAAGGTCACACAGCTAGTGTAGCAGAGCCAGGACTCACCTCAAGACTTTTACAGTCTAGAACCTCTCAGAACAAGAAAGAATTTGAGAGAGTTTTGCAAAGTGCGTTACCACTGGAATCACTTGGCAAAAGGAAAAGAAATCCATGCAACTAACTTACACAAAAAGAGGATTTGTTAAGAAGACTCAAGGACATATCCAGAATCCAAGATCAGCTAGACCTCATAAGGGCCACGGTTCCAGAAACACTGCCAGAAACAGAAAGAGCCAGCCTCCCCAGCGACCTCACTCTCTCTGTGGGTCTGCTGGTCCTGTCCTGCTTCCCAGCTCAGTGCTGTCCCATCCTTCTCTCTCTGCTTTTTGTCAGATTTCAAATGCCAAACCCTGGACCTCTCAATCCATTGCTTTTCATAGGTAGTAAACACATGCTAGGTAAAACACCATATGTGTTCTAATATATTGTTCACTGAGGAAATACACAAGGCTCTATGAAGGCGAAATAGTCACATGTCAAGTTTAAACTACTAATCATTTCTAAACAAGGTGAAATAATTATTTTATATGCTGTTTCATACCAAATTTCATATATACATTGCCATCTATTATTTCCCAAAACTTTTTAGCTTTCATTTTTTGTAATAGAATCTTCTCAGCATAGGACTTATATTATATAGAATAATTACTGATCGTCAACACGGACTATTAAACCCACAAGTTAAACATGGGTAGATCATTATTTCTTTTTCCATAAGAGAAAATATAATTATCAAATAAAAACTGGGCTATAAATCAATAATGAACTTTTCTAGAAAGCTCCAGAATGCTCATCTAAGAAGATAGTAGAGCAGACAGCAGTACCAGGAGGTCTGTCTCCAAGATTTTTCTGTTGCGCGTACAAAGACATTTAAGCTCATTCAAAAAATGATGAATTTGATTTGCTTCAGGACTTCATAGGATGCTCTTCTGTAGTGCACAGCATAGAGATGGATCCATAGATGGCTCTCAGGATCTAAAGTCAGGCAGGCCTGGCACTCATAGCTTAACTAGGAAAAGGTTACATTAGAATGCCCAGAGAAGATACTCATATTACATCAAGAGCCACACAGATTGATACGAAACACATCAAGTAGTTAGCATGTGAATAGGCAGATGATGAGTAAACATCTTCACAAGAATTAGTACAAATAAGTGAGAAAATGTTAACTCCCAGGAGCAATCAGAGGACATAATTACCCTCTACTGCTCACCCCAAGGGAAATGATTTAGAATGTTATGACCTCTACTTACTTCTGGGAATTTCTCCCATGAGAGAAAACATTATCTGCACAAATTTATTTTCAGTAAAGAAGTGGCATT